TCAAACCTAAAAAGGAAGGGGAAAGGAGAAGTGAAGGAAGGAAAGAAAAGGAGAGGAGAGGGAACGGGCAAGAAAGCAAAGGAGAGGAAAGGACAAAAAAGAGGAAAGAGAAGGAGAGAACAGGAAAGAAAACAAACAAGGCAGTGGTGAGTGAAAGAAAACAAAAGGAGAAGAAAAAGGAAAGTGAAAGGGTATAAACAAGAGGGAATGGGAAGGAGAGGGTCATGAGTTGCGCCATCTATTCACTCAACTATCATTATGCTTTTCTTTCAAAAAGTTGGCTTGACCAAACTCCATCACCTTGTGCTGTCTAGATGCTCCTGCATCTTAGGGTCCGAAAAGCTCAGATAGCTTCCGGACGTGTTCGTCTTCTGCTTTGTAAATTGCTTTGCCCGAGTGAACTTTCTGGCCATGTGTTTGAAGGACTTTACCTTGAGGTGTCCAGGCTCATCCTGCCAATTGGCTGCGAGTTCTTCTGCAGATAGTTGGCCATCGCAAAAACTAGTCAGCAATGTCTTGTTGGATTCCTGAGCCTTCTCTCGCTGAGAGTCAACCTGGTTGTTGACTTCTTCCATTACCCACTGCAATGTGGCCTCGACATCCTTGTGAGAAACAGCATCCTTCCTTTGCATGACCTGGTTCTCTCCTGTCACCAACTCGTCCATTTGCCTGCCCAGGCAACTCAATCTTCAACAGAAGAACACATCATGTTGCAAGTAGATGGCGCAACACCCAGTGGGTTACAGTAGATGAGACCCTTCCTAAAAGGCCATGTGGGGAATTGCACCATCCACTTTCATCCTCTTGTACAGTATATGGGGACTTGCCACCTGTAAAGTGTACCTACAAATACAGTATACAGTACAGTGTATATATATATACAACATTATACTCTACAAGGTATATGCAGTAAACTAAACAAACATGGAAGCCATGCCTTTCCACCAACTCCTCAATGCCAGATGGCAATTGGTATGCACTGCCAGGTCCCTTCAAAGGAGCATGCACCAGTTTCCGATATTTGTTGGGCACCTGTGAATACTTGGATGCGACGTGAAAGGGTATGGATGCCCAATCCTGCTCAAAGTACAGTCTCCTCCAATGGGACAATCTCCTCGAACGGTAATCGGGGAAGTGCTCACTGACTGCCACATCTATGCTGCCAGTGATGGAGTGTTCATGCTTCAGGACCCATTCAACCTCAGAAACAATAGAAGGCGCAACTGGGGGAGAGTGCCATAATTGCACAGGGGCCATTTTATTTGAAGAATCACAAAGCCAAACAGTTCTACAGTAGTACAGCTAGTAAAAGCTTGATTGCACGCCGTCTGAGGGGCAATCTCCCGCTTCTTCTGAAGAGAGAAAGCATCACCCTGCAGAACAAGTGCCTTACTAGTAGTAACAATGTTTGCTATTAGGAACAAGT